GCTGCCACTGAGCAGGTTCCTGGACACAGCCACTAACTCCCCCTGAGCATCTTCCACCCACTGCCTGGCTTTCTGCATAACACTGGGATTTCTATATCCTGGCACTCCCCCGTTATCACCCTTAGCTCTCACTGTATGACAGGAGGCCCAGATGCTGCCTCAGGGTATGGAGATGTGCTAGATAACCTCTTGAGTCTCTTGCTGCCACTGAGCAGGTTCCTGGACACAGCCACTAACTCCCCCTGAGCATCTTCCACCCACTGCCTGGCTTTCTGCATAACACTGGGATTTCTATATCCTGGCACTCCCCCGTTATCACCCTTAGCTCTCACTGTATGACAGGAGGCCCAGATGCTGCCTCAGGGTATGGAGATGTGCTAGATAACCTCTTGAGTCTCTTGAGCTCTACAAAATCCATAGGGGCAACCTAACTTGCATTCCACCTGGCCTCACAGCTACAAGTCTGGATTCTGAAGACCTTTGCCAGGGGAGTGATATTGTGATACCACCTGCCAAACCCATAATTGATACTCAAGATGCTGATTTCAGACAGGTGAGTTACTCCAGGTGCACACTCCAAGAGCCGAGAACTGCTCAGGCTGGGACACAAGATGGCAGAAATAGTTTGGCTGAAGACAGTTCTTGCCTGTGAGGAAAGATCAAGAGGCATAAGCAGACAATAGTAGCAGGTAGTAGGTTAAAGAGGAATCTGAAACCTCCGCAACAAGCGTTTCTCTACCCACTCACCCCATGGTGCCAAAACTCTTCAGTCCCCTCATGCGAGGGCAGGCATCAGAATTTTCAGTTTAAAATAGCTAGTCATCTTAGTTCCAATCGGTATCTGACAATGAAAGAGAGAGCTCCAGACAACTGTGACAGAAGCAGCTGTTTTACCAAAGGAATCTCTCTTCAAGTAAGTGCTGCAATCACAGTTTGTTAGTGTGTGTGTGTTCAAGAGAGACAGGTGTGTGTGTGTAGGCAGGAAATAAAAACTCATTGCCCTAAGGGACTTTTGTTTCAGATAAGTATATTGATAAAGCCCTGGCTGTGTAACTTCTCCCTCCCCCTTCTGAAAGAGGTTTGTCTGGTTACAGAATGCTAAATATTCAGTAACTTTCTGATAATAGTAATGAGTCAGGTAATTTTTGTGTCATTTGAACTTTTTTTTTTTAAAGCTCTCTGTGTTTTCCCGACTGTTACTCATATCAGCCAGGGCTGGGACTGGAAAAATGCATGCAGGTCAGTGCCTGCTTTTGCCTCTTCAAGGTACTGCGGAGCTTCAACAGTAATGCATAATACAAATCTAGCTGTGTTTTTTTCTAATGGTGGGTGGCAAGATCCTGGACTCTTTTTCTGGGTACATCCAGTTTCCAGGCAAATGAATTATTTTCTTTCAAACTGGATATGTGATTTACTCCATTGCCTCTCACTTGCAAAGGGAGTTCTTTAAATAGTTCAAGTCGCTAGCAAGTCAGAGACTATCCCATTGTAGCATAATGGTAGGTTCAATGGGCTGCTAGCAAGTCAGAGACTATCCCATTGTAGCATAATGGTAGGTTCGGTTAAATAAACCTGCATCTGTCAATTAGTCTAATGCTGAAGTAGTTTTTTAGGGTATTCATTGGCTGACTTTTTCTGCCTGGCCGCTGCATAAGGTTTGTTATCTGCAGTTTCAGCAGAACTAGAAGAATTGTTCCCTGCACAAGCTTCCACAAAATCCTTGTGGCCCTACCTTATTAGCACCTGACTGAATGATGATATATATACAAAGTCTGTGACAACTCTGTTGAGAACATGTGAGCCATGACTGCATTTGAATGATGCCAGACGGAAGTTGCACGGCAATTTTCATGCTGCATTTATATTCATATAGTGTGTGTGTGTGTGTGTGTGTGTGTGCGCGCTAGAATCATTTAACTGAGAACTGAAATTCAGCCACTTCTAGGTAGGTAGGTTGCAGTTGTTAAAAGTACATGACAACAGTAGAACACAGTTTATGATAGGAAGTACACCATTATTTTGGCTGACTGGTATTAAACCTTGTTGGCTATCAAGATGGCCTTTCTTCCTTTAGCTTTCCCACCTACAGGATATTCTCTCTTAACCCCACAGAAGAAACTGTCTAGAGAAATGGCCTTCTCTCAGAGCATAGGACCTACTGCACATTTTTTCTCCTCAACAGGTATCGCGAAGATGACATCTGTGTGCTGTGGCATTGCAAAGAGGAGAAGAGGAGGAAATGGAGATGATATGGATCCATGTTTATAAAACAGCTTGGGTGAATCCTGTTGTAAACCCATTCATGTCAATGGAGGTCTTTCAGTTAATCAGCAGAACTACTTTTGAGGTAAGGGACTCCAGGAAGGAGTTTGGACCTATGTGATTAATTCAAGTCAGTAGCCACTGCAGATTAAAAAAAGAAATTCAGTGGATTTTGGCAAATTTTTCCAACAGAGTTTTCATAGACCTATTTACCATCAATGCCCCACCAGTCTTGTATGACAAATCTATGGGGTTGGAGAGAAAGGAGTTCCTTTTCCAAGAGGGATTGTGTGAGGACCACATCCCCTGTGCCTGAGTGAGTGCAGATGACTGCTAACAATTTGCTTTCCCCCAAGTCAAAGTATCTGATAAGGAAGAGGGAAGGATGAAGATTGCTCTCAACGGTGGAGCTGTCCAGCCACTGAGGGGCTGCGTGTTGCACTCCTTTAAGGTGTTTCTTAATTGCTCTTCCTCCTCTTTCCTTGTCTGACTGGAGGGCTCAAGGTGGCATTGAAGCCAAGACTTCAAGACCTTTGAAAGTCAGGCCAGTCACTCAGGGACTCAAATATGGATTTAACACCCTAACTTTAGGCACCCATCTTTGAAAGTCTTGGTAGATGACTCTGAAATAGAATTCTCCCTGATGCGCCCCCTGCAGTGATGTGATTCTACCCCACCAGCTGTGCAATGTGGTGGCTATATGCCACAATCTAGCCTCAAGGCATGGTGGGAGAGCTTAAAGAACCAGTCACAAACACCTGAAATACCAGAACTAGAACACATATCAGGGCTCGGAAA